TTTGATCATGAGGAATTCTTTTTTCAGCCACCCAGCACTTTGAATGACTAAAACAAACCTGGATGACTGAATTATGGGTTTTTCCCAGAATGACCCACTAAGGGCTTTTAAAAAAAGATAGAATATAACTAAGCAATCCAGGTGATTCCATTAATAAAGCACAAGCATAATCTTAGATTAAAAGTTATAATCATATTTCACATATTAAAATGAACCTTTAGAAGATGAAAAGAGAGGAAATGCTTATCTAAGCAAGTTCCCATCCTTCCTTTACTTAAATGGAATAGAATCACCATTATTTCATTATGAATGTTTACTGTTGCTTAGGTCCTTTAAGGTAGCTTTTCTCAACTGGGTTTCCCCAGAGCCACAAAGTTCTGCAAAAGGTTCTTGGGATTTCCACAAGAGATTGTGTGGAAATATCTATCTATCTATCTAAAATAAATATTGTGTATGTAATATAAATTGATGACCTTAGGAAAATTCATTACCCCAACTCCAGCCTCCAAAGCACTCCAAGGTTGAAGCTGGAGCTCTGAATTCAGAACACCCTCCCATTAACCTCAGAGTTGGTGTGATTCTTTCTGCACCAGATGTGGCTTTGAAGTGGCAAACTTACCTTGGAGTCAATGTGGGGTTGGGATATTTTGGAGGGCAAGGAAGGGAGGAGTGAGGCTTCACCAGGATACAATCAGTCCTGGTGGCGCCTAAGCCCTTCTTCTTCATGAGCAGGGTAAAACCATCAGGCCTTGCAAAACCATTGGGTCAGGAGGCTATAAATGCCTCCTTTAGAGAGGGAGTGGTGCCAGCATCTTTAAAAGAGGTTGTAATTAAACCACTCCTGAAAAAGCCTAACCCAGATGATGGCCAACATTCCCTTCCTGGGCAAGGTGCTTGAGCAGGTGGTGGCTGTGGGGCGATGTTTGCCCTGTGGAATGACCTTTGCCAGGAAAAAGACAGGGGGAATACCACCCTGTTCATTCTTCTGGACCTCTCAGTGGCTTTTAATACCATCAGCCATGGTAATCTTCTGGATAGGTTGGCTCAGCTAGGAGTAGAAGATACAGCATTGCTGATTCTAGAAGGCAGTGCTGGGAGATTATTGTTATGCCATGGGGTACCACGGGGCTCCATTTTATCCCTTGTGCTATTTAACATCTACATGAAACTGCTGGGGGAGGTTATCTGAATGTATGAGCTCAGGTACCATTAATATGCAGATGACACTCAGCTCTACCTCTCTTTTTCATTAAACCCAGATGAGGCCAGTGGTTGCCCTGAATTAGTGTCTGAGATGGTAATGGATTGGATGAGGCCCAACCAGTTGAGACTCAGTCCAAACAAGATGGATGTGGGTGGTTAGTGGGTGGTTTATCCATCCAGTTGGGTGATATTCAACCTGTATTGGATGGGGTTGCACTCCCCCCCTAAAGGGCAAGGATCATATTTTGGGAGTGCACCTGGATCTAGAACTGTCACTTGAGGCTCAAGTGGACTCAATGGCATGAAGCACCTTTTATCAGCTTAAGCTGATGTAGCAGCTACGAACCTGTCTGGACAGAGAGAGCCTAGCTATAGTAACTCATGTTCTGATAATCACTCGTCTGGATTCTTACAATGTGCTATATGTGAGGCTGTCTTTGAAAGTGGTCCAGAGACTTCAACTGATCCAAAACAGACAGCAAGATTATTAATGGGTACTAGCTTATGAGAACATATTACACTAGTACCCTTCCAGCTGTACTGGCCTTTTTCAAAGTGCTAGCATTAACATTCAAAGACCTAAACAGCTTGGGGCCAGGTTATCTGAAGAAACTCCTTATCCCTTATGTGCCTACTTGCACCCAAAGGTCATCTTTGGGAGTTCTTCTCCAGGACTCCCCTCCAAAGGAAGTAAGGAAGGTGGTTATCAGAAGAGCCTTTTCAGTAGTGACATCCTGGCTGTGGAATGAACCTCCCAAAGAGGTGCACTTGGCACCTGCTCTGTATTCCTTTTGCACCAGGTAAAAACCTTTTTAATTTCCCAGCATTTTAGCTGTTAACTTTTTAACTTTAGTTATAATATTGCATTTTTTCCTGTACTGCTGCTATACCTCTGTGCTGATTTGATTGCAGTTGCTGTGGCATTATTGTCTCATGCCATTTTTTTCTTTCTTGCTTGTGTGCTTTTAACTTTTGTTAACTGTCCAGAGAGACTCAGCTATTGGGCAGAATAAAAATGAGATACATTAGTCATCTGAAGTTCTCCATTCAATTGTTTTGGACAGGGAAGGGATCATTGAGGGGGTCCCCCCTGTTGCAGTTTCATTGCCTTCCACTGGATGCCTGTAATCTTCCATGTTCAGAGTATTACAGGAAGCCATAGTGGATGGCACCCTACAGGCACAATCCAATGTACGTTTAGATAGAAAAAAAGTCTTCCAGTTCTTAGCATTCTTAGCAGTTCTGGCTAGGGAATGCTGGGTGTTTTAAAAAAAGAAATAAGAGTGTTGTGCATACTACACTAACTCCTGTGCTTTGGACTCAGTAAGTCCTTGAGTCACTTGGACAGGTAATTAGCTAAAATCCAGCACAAACAGCTCACAACTGGACTTGCCTCTCCTTACAGCCTTACAGCAGGCCTTCACTTCTCCAGCTGCAATTAGAGTTGGCGGGTCCTGAATGGCACCAGACACCAGAGATGAGCAGCCACATCTTTAGGTCACAAAACTTATGACCATTAAAGTGATGTTAATTGCACCAACAGAATTGCTGGGCCTTATTTTCTGCCACAGTGTGTGCGTGGGGGGCGGGGGTGGAGTTATGATAGGAAGAAGAGTGTTAAACAGTAGAGGAGTTCTCTCCAAGGGCTAATAGCATCTCTGGTGTGCAGGGATAGGTGAATGCAGGCATGTGTTTGGTGGACAGAATCACCACCAGGATTGTGGTGGGTGAAGAAACGGTTAATGCATTTGAAACAGAAATTATTTTACCTTCCCTGTTTTGCATAGTTTGTAGCATCATGTGCACTCATGGTACTATATAAAAATGTTAGCTAATGTAGCCTTTCAGCTCTTTTATAGAATTGGGTACAGCTTTCCTGTCAGCTGTACCCAACAGTTAGGTACTTGAGACTGAAGTGCTACACAAGGAGTATTTCTTTGCCTGCTTTTTTTCTGATTTATATCCTCCCTTTTTCCTACAAAGGGCTCAAGGCAGCTTACATCATTCTCCTCCTCCATCTTATCCCCACAACAACAACCCTGTGAGGTAGGTTGGGCTGAGAGTCTGTGACTGGCCCAAAGTCATCCAGTTGGCTCCATGGCTGAGCGGGGAGACTAGAACCCAGATCACCTGAGTCCCAGTCCCATGCTCTTAACCACTACACCACACTGGCTTTTCCAGTATATAACCCTGATATAGCTGAATAGTGCAAACACACAAATGAAAAAGTAGGTTTTTTGCTTTCACAAATAATATTGCATTTTCCCTGCTCTAAAACAACATGCCAAACATCTTTTTCAGACTCAGAAACAAAGCTAGAGCATCATATAATCTAAAGAACCTGCAAAAATTGAATGGGTAATGAGGAGCACTCAAAAATTGTCTTATGTTGGCAACTATATGAACATCCATTATTACTACATTATTATTTTATATTATTGCTATTAATTAGTTGATGATGGTGATGATGCAGCTATTTGTAGTGCTATGTAGTACTGCACAGTAAGAAATAACCTCTCCCCTGCTTCTGTCTGTAAACCACTCAGTGAGCTTTGGCTACAGGCAGTATAGAAATGAAATGAATAGTAATCTGTGCATGTCAATAGCTTACCCAACCAGGATTATTCACCTGGACTGGTTATGCCATTTCCTTCCACAGTTTCAGATAACTAAACACAGGCAAAAGATCCATATAGCTGCTTATACCAGTTAGGCTATTATCCCACTAGGCTAGTTGTGTGTTCTTTCAAAGATCTGATGCCAGCCAGACCTCTCTCCTATCCACACCCAAAATCCTTTAAAACTGACATTTTAGGGACTGGGCCTGTGATTCCTATATATAAAGCATGTGCTCTGCCCCAAAGCTAGAGCTCCTCCTATCTAAATAAACTCATCTCACCCCTGAAGAACAGATTGAGCCAGTGACATTCCACAGTGCTCATTCTTTGGCTTTCTGGCACAAACTAAATACCCTTAAATCATCGTACTAATTTGACAATATCAGACAATGTTGGGAGTGTTCTGTTCAAAGCAAAAGAAGGAAACTATTCCAGCCTTCATGCAAAACAGAAGGATACATTAGCTCAATCTCAGTATAATTTTCTAGGCATGATACTAGCTACAAGTGCTTCCAGATAAATGGCATTACTGATCAGAAGCCTGCCATATGGAAAGATCCTGACCCTACTAGTCAGAAGGCCTTGCACAGCAAGGCCAGCTTCTCCCTAATGGGTTTTCCACAACAAGGCCAGAGACAGAATTGGTGGGAGACCGTGGGAGGACAACAAACGGAATTCCTTTGGAACGCCACTCCTTGTCCCCATGACCAAGCTAGGACAATGGAGCTGTAAAGGCCTCGCCTAGGAGCCCTCATTGTGCAGCTATTCCATCTTTCCCTTTCTATAGATTTACTGTAGTAAGAAGAGTACAAAGCAGTGGTGGGGAAATATGGAAGGATTACAAATGGAAGACAATACTTGCAACTCAGGAACACAGATTCTATGAGCGAGGCAGGGTGATTACAAACAAGAGCCTCCTGTGGAAAATCCTACGAATTCTCTAGCTTCAGCTAGGAAGTACATACATATACATCAGCTATACAGCTTTTGCCCATATTATTTCTCTAGTGTGAAAGTGCTTTGTTCTATTTCTGCTTATACTGGGAATTTACTTTGCTATTTTTAAGGGTGGATTAGTGCAGCTTGGCAGATCCAACAAACAGAACCTGAAAATCTACCTTGGGATTAATCCTTATTCAGCTTCCACCATAAAATGAAATTACAAAACCAGACCAATGCTAGATTTTCTTCCTCATCTCAGGGTGAGGACTTTATTGAATAACCACAACACTTCAGATTAGATACAGGGTGCATTTGAATTAGCTTGTCAACAATTTGATTCTTTGAAGAGCAGAATTGTTTTGTGAGGTTTTGCTCCAGAGCTGAGCTTCATTCTATGCTTCAGGGCACTGCTGTCTGCACAAAAGGCAGTTTTCATGCTTTCTCATAGACTCTAGTGGAGACAACATCATTCATACAGCATTCCTAGGAAGAAGAACACAAAAGAGTCAGTATCTCAAAGAGTCAACATTAATTGCAAGAAGGTCACACATTTATTAACTTGTCCAGGTAAAGTCTTGCCATAGTGAAAATTTACGGGACTATGATGAAAGCAGCCAACAGTGTTCAGGAGCTACACTTAAATAAAATCACCTGTAGTTTTTGTTCATATCCCATGCAGTGTCCGTAGACACAGCAGCACCTTCTTCCGCAACTAGATTACTGGAGAACAAAGACTTTTGGCAAGTAAGGCCAGAGTGGCTATATAATCTAATTTAAAATATTTCTATATCTGGAGGGCACCAAGGTGAGGAAAACTGGTCTACGGGTCCCGAGAACTCAGGAAGTTCCATCTCCTATGTCCTGCCTCCCTATTTTGAGGCTATCAATTGATACCTAAAGGTGTTGGTACTTGGAACAGGGAAAGAGCTTCCCAGAGAGGCTTGCCTGGTGTCTACATTGTTCTCTTTCTAGCACCAGGTGAAGACTTTCCTATTTTCTCAGGAATTTTAGTCTTGTTGGCCACAGTTCTCTAGCATCCCCAGTGCTATGACATCTAGTGATGCCATAGCATTTTTCATCATCCCAGGAATGAGGTCCTCTAACCTCAGAATCAGACAAGTGAGCGCCACTCTTAGATCCAGCTCTGAAGGAACCACACTGGCTCCCTCTGTGAGCAGAAACACACCTTACAGAGGGTGTAAGGTATAAGGCTCCTCCCTGCCTGCAACCATGGCAGGAGGCAGGGAGTAGCCTGCAGCCATCTACCCACACCTATTCCTGCAAGTACCACTCCTTCTTGGTGGTTAATCTGGCTGTCTGAAAACAGCACCCTGTATAAAATGCAGGGTATGAGATGTGGTGGTGATCACCACTGCTATGCCTCAGTCCTGTAATTAGATGCTCGTAAAGCTAAGTTTGGAGATTTATGTGCATCTGCTGTGGGGGCAATTGGACTGCATCCTCAGTTACTGTTTTTAAACCTTTACCACATTCTAAATCTTTGCAATGCTGCTAGGGCTTTCTTAGCCCTTACTTCTATTTCATACTGAAGTTTTAAACTTTTATAGTAGATTTCATATTGTATTTTATGTTCTTAATGGTTGTGAACTGTCCAGCGAACTTTAGCTATAGGGTGGTATAGAAATGTAATAATAAGTCAATGCTACCTATGGTATCAGAGGCATTGTGCCTGCGTACATCAGTTGCTGGGGTGCATGGGCAGGAGGGTGTTGCTGCCCTAATACAAGTGGAATTTCCACAGACAGCTGGCTGGTCACTGTGAACAAAATGCCGGACTACATGGAGCTTTTTTCTGATTCAGCAAAGGTCACCTTCTGTTCTTAAGCTCTGGCTTTTTGTCTGACCGTTTTTGTGTGGGTGGGTGTCTGCATTTGTGCCTGTCTAGTTTTAATTCTAATTTATATTTTGCTTCTCAACTTTTTGAACTACTTGTGAACGTATTCCTAAGGAAAACTTTTTTAAATTAATAGTAAAACATTTTCCTGGAAATGAAGTTAGATTGTGCTGATGCAAAAGCAAGATTATTTCAGGTTAGCCTACAAATCACTTGCATTTCTTTACCAATGAAGGACAATGCAGAGACAGACAAGAGAGAGAAGTGGCCAGACTTTCTTGCAACTGAACATTAACAGCATAACACCAGCCTAAAGCTTCTTGATAGCCTGAAGGGCCTAATCCTGCCTACTCTTGGAAGCTCAGCAGGATTGGGCCTGGATGGGACTCTTGAGACCTGCACTGAGCAGGCAATTGGACTTCATGGCCTCCTAGGTCCCTTCCAACTGTATGATTCTATGATTTCATTCAATTGCTTAGATCCTCCCTTGATCTTCCCAGAACTCCCAGGGCTGGTGGTTTTGCACCTGTCAGTGCATGTATCACTCAGTAAATCTGGATGAATCAACAATCAACATGAAAACCAAGAAGCTTGGTGCCAGTTCACACAGGTAAGTTGGTGACTAACATTACTATGGGCTTGCCCCTTCAGACAGGCCAAACTAGACTTAATGACAGTTGCCTTTAAGATTAGGATAGCACATTTCAACTATTAGAATTGCTAAATTGCTGCATTCCCCATGAGATTCTATATAAGAGTGGAAAACTGATTGGTGCACAATGAACAGAGAAATTACCAATCCTCAGCAGAAGAGATTCCACTGCCCAAGAGTGTAGAGTTCCTATGTATTCCAGTCATTTGCTTTCACTCCTGACTTCCAATCATTTATTTATTTAAAACATGTTTACCCCTTTCTTCCTGATAAAACATCTCACGATGGCTTACAATTACTTTCTACCAATCTGATGTTATTGCCATGTTTTAACTAAAGGGAAGTATATACACAGAACATTAAAGGCACTATCCAGCCTGGTCTAGTACATTTAAACTCCATTGATTTCCATGAGCATATGCATAACATGGCCATTGAGTCAATGGAAGTTAAGCTTCACCTTGACAAGACAGAGTAACCCTGCATGAAGTGATTTGTAGCTTGGATTTTATTTTATTTTTCTCTCTTCATGCTTTCCCATTTCCATCTCTGCCACTCTTTACAGATGCTGAAAAATAATTAAACTCACCACAAGCAGCTTGCCATCCTCTATTCTCCTTTTTATTGTGGTCTCTTTGCCATCCCATTTCTGCACCTGATTGAGGGAGCCGTTGTCTAGTGTCACAGTACTCTGCCAAGGAAAAATTGTCACCTAATTAGTATAGTCTAACACTGGAGTAAACAGCTGCAGAAAAGACCCGCAGCAGTGCTGAGAAGGCACACAGAGGGGCTCAGTCCAGAATTCATGCAGCACCACAGTCAAGGATCCTATCCATAGTTTGGAATAATATTTTTATTCTTTAAAATATTTTTAAAATAATATGATTACACTACAATAAAAAGAAACAACAAAGAAACACAAAAAACCTACCCCCACCCCCCAAAAAAATACTTAGTGCAGGAGTCCTCAAATGATGGCCCACCAAGGTCATTTACCCAACCCGCCTCAGAGCTTTCGGACTCATTCAGAGAAAATGATCTGAGCCGGCGCATGTATACTCTGAAACTCTTTCAGTTTCGGACACTAGCAGAGAGCTGGCACTCTTATCTTAGATGAAATTTTCATTTTACAAACTGCTATCTTACCAAACCAAGATAATCCTACTTTCCTAAATTTCTGCAATTTCTTTTTTATTTCAGATTTTAGTATATCAAAATTATTTTTTAAACATTGAGTATTTTGAAATATTTATTCCTAAATATTCAATATTACATATTTTAATTTGAGATTTAGTCTTAATTTCCTCCTTCTCTTCTCTATTGCAATTAAATAGCATCATCTCCGATTTATTCCTATTAACCTATAAACTTGTTATCTCATCAAATTCCACCAAATGATCTTTAATCTGATCCATAACCTTAAACAGGTCCTCAATTATTAACAATGTATAATCAGCAAATAGATTAATCTTAATTTTATTTTTAATTCCAATACCTTTTTATAGTATCACCATTTCTTATACTATTTGTTAATAATTCTAAAACTAATGCAAACAATATAGGTGACAATATCCCTGTCTAGTGCCTCAGCCTAAGGATATACTTTCTGTTAAACTATCAACTGTCACAGCTAGAAAAAAATCTTAGTATAATTGATTTATTACACATTTTAATTGTGAACCAAATCCTAATCCCTCTATCAACATCTTTATTGCTGGCCATTTCTCACAACCAAAATCTTTAAAAATATCTAATTACATTAGACCCTCTTTTAACCTTTCCTTTGATATACATGCTATTACATCTAATACTCTTCTAGTCAGGTCTGACATTCTTCTCCTTACTATAAAACCAGGCTGATCTGTCTTAATGTATTTATCAATAAAATTCATTATTTTTGCAAATATCACTGTAAATTTTTTTTGCATCTTGGTTTATCAAAAATATAGGTCTATACATTCCAAATACCTGAATAGATTGACCATTGAGCTGAAATGATTGTGGCTTTACTGAGACTTCTCTTACCAGATTCTTTGTGGTATTAGGATTGGCTCTTTCATGTGTTCTTTTTCCAGCTATTTTGTTTCTCTGCATTACTATATATGTTCCATAACACTAGCACTAGGTAGAGCTGTTCTACATTGCATACATAATTTGACTAACCCACAGGTTTTCATGCCATCATTTCTTAATTCCACACTTTCCTTGATGCAAATAGTTCTTAATTTCCTTTACTCTAGAGTTGGTACATGAGGCTCACTCCAGATCTGAAAGCCACCCTATCCCCCATGTTATGGCTTCAATCAATATCAGTCCCCCCTACCTTCTCTAGCATAATTTAAAAAAAAGACCTTGCTGCTAGATATGGATTTAAAGTTATGTGCATTTTGGATCCAATTAGAGAATAATTCCCCTTCTTGGATGCACACCTAACATGGTGAAGGGGTTTGTAAGTGCCAGAGAAGCTGACAGAAGAAAATTGATGCATTGAAACCTGGTCCTGAAGGACTGCTTTCTGAATACCCTTTCTGGAACTACAGAAAGACCAACAAGAGAGTCGAAATCAAACCAAGCCAAATTTTTTCATGGAATAAAAAATGAGAAAACTTATGTTGTCATAACATAGATACATCAAGAGAAGGGGAGACTCACTGGAGAAGAAAATAATGATTAACTATGAGTTGTATAATTTGCATAAAGGAAGCAACAGCATTGAGTTTACAAGAGCCCAGTAGGGCAGTCATGGACAGGATGCGTTGGAGATCATTCATTTATAGGATCACTATAAGTTAGGAATGACTTGACAGTACATAACATCAAAATAGAATAATTGAGGTTGCTGAGATGGTGTTCTTCTACTGATCAACTGGAATTGCATATCTGTCCTGCCAAGTTTGGATGCGGGTGGCTGTCTGAAGGGATGAAGAGAGAATAGCTTCCTTTTCTCCATAATGCTAGTGGAATTTATTGAAGAGCTGCAAATCAGGTACATGAGAAATGTACAATGGTTCCTTTGGTCTATTGCTTAGCACAGCAGTTGCCAACGCCTTGATTTGAAATGAAATCTGTCCTGAACCCATTTTTAAAAAATAGCCAGGTCCTGAAGCCATGTCCGGATGCAGATTGCATCTCACTAAGAAGCCGTCACCAATATTCAATAAAAGAAGAGTTGACTACATGCATTGTACAGGTCATCAAACTTCTGGAAGCTAACCACTGCACAGCAGCTATATCCCAAAGGCTGAGGATACTCAAGGCACACCACTCTCCTCAGATGCTTTTGATGTTTATCCTTTCTTTAGCACTTTAAATGATAGCCTATCCTGTTGGAACTCAATTAGAAACAAATGTTAAGGTAAACAACAAGAGCTCACCTTTACTTTCCTGCCATCTGCTGTGGTCTCATCAAATTCTTCCCCCAATTTGAAGGAAATTTCTGAGTTCTTTAAACTGCTCTCCGTTTTCATGGTTATCATATCTCCATTGCGGATGAAGGTCACATTAGGCTTGGCAACACTAGCCATCTTCCGGGTAGCAAAGCCCACATCTAGAACCCAAGCCAAACCATATTAGACCTTTACATACTCATCATAAACTATGGGATCTCTGAAGAACATAATGGACAGAAGTAATCATGAGAATAGGTCACAACTTGGGTTATGACAAATCCTATGGGGTGAGATTTAGCATACAAAACAAACTGATGGGCAGGAGGTTCTGAAAGCTTCCTCTGTCTCCATTGTTCTTTTCTTGAGCCATTATTCTCCTAAATCCGGCCCTAGTTTAACTGGAAAAGTACAATGGGGGAAAAGGAATTTCCTAGAATAGTGTGGGTGGGGCTGGAATGCTGAAGTGTGTGGCCTTCCTATGGCATATATTACAAAGCATAGGAGCTTTGCTGGATCCAAGCAAAAGCCCAACTCTGGGGTTTCCAACATGATGTCTCTTGGCTCTTGCCAGGCTACATGCTCCTCTTGATTTTTAATGTCAGTTCCATCTAAAATACATTTTTAAAACTGGGAAATTGGCACATTGCTAAGCACTGCCCACTAATACCTAATTTGGACCTAATACCCCCACATCTGCCTTACACTCAAGTTCTTGAACAAGTTACTTCTCTTTTAGATTCAGAAAGGAGTGTTTTGGGACCTGCCAATTGTATTCAGCATACTCCTTTTGTGAGAATTCCCACAACACTCTCAAAGTTCCAAATGCATCCATTGATTCAGAAATGTGGGGAACTTCTGACCTCTCTAGCCCAGCCTCCTGTTTCACACAGTGGCAAATCAAATGCATGTGCTCATTCATTGTTTTTCAGCCAGTGATAGTCTGGAGCAAGCTTCCTCTGATCCTCTAGGTGGCAAAGAGCCATCATGACTAGATATCATCAGTAGATAATTCATGGAGGATCAGGTTCATTCCGCTTTTCAGTCATATGTGATGGTGGCAGTCAGTACATCCTGTAGTAACAAATGCCTAGTCTTAGTTGCATTTGGGGTAATTTTTGACCCCACACAAAAGCGTCTCAGGCAAGAAATATGCTGCATAGGAAAAGCCTTTTCCTGGCTGCAATTTTCCCCCTGGAAGTTTGTCAGCCTGAGAGTGGTTTTCTATCAGCCTGTACTGGTAAATTTAAGGCTTAATAGTTCCTGAGGCTATGCAAAACAAGAAAAGCTTCATCAAATGGTTGACCAATGACTTTTTCTTTGCACAACAATGGTTTGATCTACTTTTTTTCTTAAATGGGAAAAATCCCTCAATGGATTTTAATTATGTTTGTTGAAGTTTAAAAGCTAAGAATATTAGCTTTAAAAAGAGATCAAGATGGTCTGTATTGAACCTTCATTAGTTCCTTTGTTTGGGGACTATTGTTTCAGGTGTAAAATTACCTCATACAACTATTCCTATGGAAATTTTTGTGCCCCTGGCATGTTTTAGATTATAGAAAAAAGAAATAAAAAACAGGAGGGGCTGAAATTAGGGGATATTTTAAACTAGACACTTGGTGACAATGTCCTAAAAGAACAAATCAGTAGGGCTAGCTATATGTGAGTTACAGTAAAGAATGTAGGCTAGAGAGATGCCAGTTTTAATCTCCTTTTGTGTGGCATCACTGGTGGCAAGGTTAGGCCATCATCCTCTTAAGCAACATTTGATTGTTGCTTAATTTGATTTACAGAATACCACCTGTGTGCTTTCCTGTTTCGTGTTTGATACTACTTTTTGTTTGAGGCAATTGGTTATTGTTTCTAAGCTTCGCATATCTTACAAGCTGCTTTGAGGTGCATTTCAGGAGGAAAAAATACTTTTTTAAAAAAGAAAAGGAAGCACTAAACTAAGAGCTAAATAAAATTTCCTCTGAGATTTATGCAAATTTGGCACTATGTAAAACTTCCAGAGTTATCTTGCTTGGCTGAAGACACATTGTAATAACTGGTCTCCACATGCCTTTATTCCCTTGAGTTTTAAAGCATACTGTAATTTATGTCCTCTAAGCAGAAAATACACCCAAACTACTAATTGGATTTGCCAGTTAAGTTATTTCTACATAACTTTCTTGCTTAAGTGAATGGGATTGCCTTAGAGTAAGGGAGTTGCAGCCAGAATTATGATGGAAAGTCTAATTAAAGTGATTAAGGGTGTAATTCTATGCATGTTCAGACAAAAAAGTAATACAACTCCCAGCAGAGCTGTCTAGATCATGCTGGGAATTGCAGGAAGTTTTGCTGTTTAAACATGCATAGGATTTCTTAAAATGACTTGTAATTTGAGTCATCTGAACATATCAGAAGCAGTTACATTTCTAAATAGGAAAGATTAGTTTGTTGGAAAGTGCTATTTAACACAAAAGTGGCTTGGCATTTGTGGTCATGGAACTCAAGCTGCCTTATAGCTGGCCTGTTATCCATCTACCCTGGTATCATCCACTAGGGATGTTTGAGGAATCCGATTAGGAAATCCATTAGATTCCCTCAGCTTAGTTCCCCAGACTCTGGTCCGCTTTCTTGGAGCTCTGAGTCTAACTCAGCACCAAGTGCACAAAGCGTTCACATGGGCATACACTAGGAATCATAGAATAGTAGTTGGAAGAGGCCATGGAGGCCACTGAGTCCAACCTCCTGCAGTTGCAGGACACCAATTTACACCATCCCACTCAGAGGGCTGTCCAATTTCTTTTTGAATGTCCCTCGTGTGGGAGAGCCCACCACCTCTCTAGGCAGCTGCTTCCATTGTCATATTGCTCTGACAGAAAACTTTTCCCAATATCTAGCCTGAATCTGGGTTGTTGCAGCTTAAACTGATTATTCCATGTCCTATGCTCTGGTATCAGTGAGAAGAGAGCTTGACCTTTCTCACTAGGACAGACTTTGAGGTATCATATCCCATGATATAGAGGGATATCATGTCCTCCCCATCAGTCTTCTCTTCTCATGCCCAATTCTCTTAGTCTCTCCTCAAAGGGCAGTGTTTCCAAACCCTGGATCATTTTTGTTGCCTTCTTCTGGACCCTTTCTGATTTTTCTGCATCTTTCTTAAATCTTGGTGCCCAGAACTGGACACAGTATTCCAGATGAGGTCTGCTAGTGAGGAGTATAGGGGAACTACTACTCTGTGTGAACCCCATTCAAATGTGTGATTTATGCACAGTGTATGTGCTGCGTGTACTGTGAAGGAAGCTTGCCGGGTTGTGCAAAAGGAATGCCACTAGTGTTTACAGGTGTGGATGTACTTCTGCTCAGCTTGCCTCACTTTCTAAGCCAGAACTAAGCATAAGAAAGACATCTGATGGGCAGAGGAGGTCCAGATTCTGTGTAATTGTTGTGACCCCATTGTCAACTCAGACAGACTGCAGCTTTCCAACCCAGCACCCACCAAATGTGTCAATTGCCCCTTCCACCATCCAGCTAGCATAGGCATTCTGGCTTTGGAGAATGGGAATTGTAGGCCAACACATCCAAGGGTTCCAGGTTAGGGAAGAATGCCCTACAGTGGAGGTGTTGAATCAAAAGACAAAATCCAAATTCAATTACAGGGAAGCTCTCAGGAGCTCAGACAAATTAGAGTAGGCCCCCAAATACCTATGCATTTTAGCCCAACTCATTATCATTAAATGGGCCTTAGAAAAAAGAATTAATGCTCTTATAATGCGTTTAGAGCATCAGGCAGAAATCTTCCATATCATCTCCTACTAGAGATCCCCTCAGCTAGGATATACCAAAGACTGAAGCTGGGACCTTCCATGTGCAAAGCAAGTGGCTCTGTCACCAAGCTTCAGACTTCCTAACTTGGGGGGAGGTTAGAGAAATAAAGCTCTACATCCAGTTCAAATTTATATCCTTTGCATTACATTGAATGCATATACTGGGAAAAGCCACTGCTAGGAATGTGCACACAGGGCTTTTGTTACAGTTAAATAATGAGGCTGGAGGGGTCTAAGCTAAAATCCAATAGCTATTTACTTGCCAAGGAACTCCATTTAAGAAGAATGGGAACACGTTCAGTGTCTAGGCTTAGTCTAAATACAGCTTTTTAATTCCACAAAGCAGGGTACTCCTGATTAAGGCTAAAAAGGCACATGTGTGTTCTTGCCTATTTAGAAGTCTGCAGTCAGCAAATACTTTGATTAGGACCAAGCAAAGTGAAATTTGGGTGGGTCCCAAGCAGGTGCTACTTGAATTTCATTGAATGCAAGAGCACAACTACCTAGACTTTTTTTTTCAGCTCTTCAGACCCAGCAACAGACCAAACTATTACGTCTGTCACTTTACTTTAGCACAAAACACATTTTTCTGTTTGATGAAATAATGAATTTCCCTTCACTTTCCTGAAATACCTAGTCTGAGTAGCAATGCAACTCATTAACTACAGTGAAAACTATTAGTGGCTGCTTACAATTTAATATAATGCACTCAGTTATCAGCTTTGTCACAACCAGCAATTCCTTTGGAATATGTAGCACAAGCAAAGTTACTTTTGTTCCCAACTAAAGATGTATTGCATTCAATAGGATTAGTGCTGGTAAGCATATTTAATATTATTATACTGAGTCCCTTGGAAGTCAGAATAGAAATTAAGTAGATTGACAAGTACAGAACAAGGCTGAAAATTTCATAATATTAACTGAATAAAAAGTTCAGCATTCTACTACTGCTGTTTAGTGTTTAATGTAACACTAAACACAGCAGTTTGGAAACAGCTTAGCAACTCTGTTTTCCATACTTGTTGTTGCATATGTAACTAAGCAAGCCTGCTTCCAGATCAGTATTCAACATTTTAAAGGAGAAAAAAATGAGGACAAAACAGTTCTACATGATTAAAAAACCTAAAATTCATTAACAAAACTATATCAAACACAAAGCATTATTTCTTACCAAGTTCTTTAAGGTAGTCATCGAATTTATCACTGGAAACCAGCTTCCAAGTTCCCAAGAACTGATCACACATGTTGGATAAAGGTTCCTAAGCAACTTCCTAAAAAAGTCTTCCAAGAAGCCACCAAGAGAACACCACCTCTACTATCAAGTCCAATAATGACTTTAAAAAGAAGCCTTGACCATGTGACTTTTTAGGATTAGCCAATAGTAACAGGGAGCAATGACTGTGATTACCATGCTTCTCTTTCTTTCTCACTAGGTCAGAGTGCTCTTAGTCATTAGGACATACAAAACTATAGTGTCAGCATTTAAGTGCTTTTCTTGAACAGCCGTCTTTCACTTTTTTTTTTTTTTTTAAGGCTTCTTACAGAGAAAGAAAGAAACTTGGTAGCTATTCCACAATGATGCAGCACATGACAAGGGATTATAGCACTGCAGTCCCAGTGATTTAGCAATGAACCTACTTCCTCTGCTTGCCTGATTGTGCTCTCCCAATCTCAGGCATTGCCCTTCCACAGACAGAAATATGTCCCACTGTGCTAATTGACATGTTCCTGTGCAAATACACTTGCAGCTTGAAGCAACCAGAGATCTCTCTGAACTAGCATATATGTAAGGAAACAGTGAGGTGGATGTACAAACATCCCCTGTCTACCTTCTAACAGCCACACACTCTGTCATGGTTCAAGTACAGCAATAAGCAATACCACATGGTTTCCATGGTGTGGTATGTCATATTCTACACATATGTGATTTCCACCCTCCTCCCTCAGTCCTCCCACTGGCAACGGGTATCCCATTAGTCTTCATGGCTGACTTTCAGTTCCAAGGTGCACCACTCCTGTCTGTGTTGCCTGGCTTGCCGTCACTGGTACATGCACTTCCCCATGTGCTGCTGTTTTTTTACGTTCCTCAGCCAAAGCAACCCTTTAATCAGTATGCTTGTCCCTTTCTGCTGTACTCTGTGCCAACTTTGAAGCTCATCCATCCACACTGCCACCTATCCCCGCTCTTTGCCATAAATCTTCCAGTGCTGCTCTGAGCACAGTAATCACACACACTCCGATAGGCTGCCTTCCCTCTGCAGCCATGCTTAGGGAGGGCATCAGTGGGGCCAGCTGTGTCCTCCCCTGACCCCTCTGGCGTCACAGCTGCACTCAGTGTCATCTGGGCCCCCACCCCACTGCTCTCAGAAGTGGTTCCCCATGTCTTTGTCCACCCCATCACGTGTGGAGTCTGCCCTGGATAGCACCCCTCCTCTCACGCAGGTCACAGTGTGAGTGATTTAATCTGCCCCTGCAGCTCACCCTCTCTCCATGCATCCCAGAGCAAACCCTCTCCAAAAGAACCACGCACTGTACCAAAACATGCCTTTATTTCTGCAGCATCACTGGGACTCAGGTGTTGGGAAAAGATGGCTCAAGAAGGAAACTGTTTTCCAGCGGATAGAGCTGAAACTCCTTGGCTGTGACAGGAACCCAGAAATGACTCGAGTGGTTGACATGGCATGACATGCTCCTCCGTGCCCTCTCTCCTGTAGAGCTCACATGGCACCACAGTATACCTTGGAGCTGAGGACAATGCAAGACCTTGAGTGGCTTGAATGCAGATAGAGGAAAACTCTCAGTGGATATGATCAAATGGGCTTACAAGGATGGCAAAGAAACAATATCTCACTGCCTCTGTTGGTTCGTCCATTTGACACCCAGCAGAGTTTTTCAGGATCATTCAGGGCTTTTTACATGCTGGCTGCAAGGACAGCTTTGAACCTTCTGAGACCCACTGTATTTTATTTGCTGTGCACTTCAGCACTTCTTAAATCACCTGGTACTTAAACTCCACAGTAAAGCAGTTGAATCTGTGGAGATAGCCAGAGAACAGTCTGGTTCAGTTTTATTAGTTTCAGCTGGTACGGGTTGTAGATATTGACAAGGTGCTTGGCCAAGTATGTGCAACCATGTCTGTACTGGATCGTTGCCCCTCCTAGTCTATAAAAGTCAGTAGTGAAGGAACAAAGACTGGGCCAAGGAGAAGATTAAAGTCTCCTTGTGTAAGGGAGTGGCCCAGTACCTTCTGAAGAAGGTAGTGGTGAGATGACTTCTTGGGAAAAAAACTTGATCTGAAAGTTTTTAGGCCAGTGGCTAAAATCCCTTTCCTGGGCAAGATTCTTGAGAGGGTGGTTGACAATCAACTCGAGGCACGCTTGGATGAGACTAGCTGCCCTAAAGCTGTGCCTACATGTGTTCTCCACTCCCACAGCATCCCGCCTCATGTTAGCATGCATCCAGCCACTGGATACAGGTGCCCTATTCCCGCGATTCACTGCACCTGCCTCTGCCCAGTCCCTGACATCGGCTTGCACACCTTAGCTGCACCTTGGGCAGCAATGCGTAAGAGGCACTTAGCTGCCTGCAGGGCTGCTGGGGGGAAGAGCATCTGTGTCATGGCCCCATCTGCCACTGCCACCTCTCTCTGCAAGGCAGGCAGGAAGGTGACTGGTAGCTGACTTTGCTTTGGGTACTGGCAGGAAGTAGGTGGCGCCCAGGCCAAAATATGGACTAGGGACTATTAGTTGTACTTCCAAAAGTAGCTTTCCCAGATCCACTGGGAAATAATGCCAGGGATCTCCCAGGACCTACACCTGTTTTGTGCACAATGCAGATGTTGTTCATGATGCAGCTTGATCTCCTCCTTGACATTCAGGAGGGTGTACAAGAACACCCCTATGTCTTCAACTGTCCAAAGGTGTGCCCCACTTTGGCAAGGCTGGTGGCAGGAGGTGCTGCAGCAATGGCCTGTGCTGGAGAGGCTGGATTGGCTGGGAGACAGTGCTAAGGCAATATAGGCTGTGGTGCCGCCACAGTCATTTGGATGGCCTCAGTCTGCCTGTCAACAGCCTCTTTGAGGACTGTCCTGATGTGCTCATAGAAGGCATCGGAGGCTATGATATCCCGTCTGGTGATGTCTGTGGGGGCATGCATGCTGTATTGTGGACTTGATAGTCTTGATTGACTTGATTGCCTAGACCATGACTTGTAAAAAGGAATTCTTGTAAGAAGAAATTTCAGCAGATGTAGTTTGTATGACAACCTACACCTGCTGCGCAAGCCCCTCTTCTGCACAGTTATTACAGATGCAGGAGATCTCTGAATTTACACTGCAAAACTGCTAAGATCCAGCAACATTTGCCTTGAGTAATTCAAATAATTGATCATTATAACATCTGTTCAGGCTTCCAAGTAATTGTGCAAAGGATTTGCAGCTATAAATGCAATTCCCCACCCGCTCCTTCAATGGGGCTTATTTCCAAGCAAATGTGTTTAAAATTGGAGCTTGAGGGGACAACCCTATGTACATTTAGGCTGAAAAAGACTTTCAACTTCCAACAGTTGGCTGAGGCATGCTGGGAGTTGTAGGCTTTTTCTATGTCTAAATATGTAAAGAATTTCTCCTTAAATTATCTTTTATTTTAATGTCTGATGTCAAGAATTCTCTCTCCCTCCCCCCCCCCCACTCTCTCTCTCTCACACACACACACGGAGAATCTTTAAGACTGAAAAACAGAAGAAGTACAATATATTTTCTCATATTAACCCTCCAACAGTATATCCCATTAGAGTGGCTTAGGTTACAATAGCTGGGGAATGCTGGAGGTTGTAGGACTTTTTGCTGTTTAGAAACGTATAGAATTATTTCCCACAACACAGAGGATTTTCTAACAACCTGCTATATGTTGCTCCTAGCTTTTGAAGTCTCCCGGATGAAATCTCTTACACATGTGTTACCAGGGATGGATGTAGACTGATCAAACATTCTTATATGCTATTTATTCAGAAGTAAGCAGCACTGACTACAATGAGGCTTATTCATACACAAGAATGCCTTCTGATCACAGGAGTATGAAGGCATCTCTACATGAGGCATTTATTTTGCAGTCATGATTCCTCACTCATGGAAGTTTGTGAGGCCTTTTCATGACATTGTTGCCCTCCAGGATCTCTCCTAAGTTTTCTACTCTGTTTTGTGAACTTTTTGTTTTGTTTTTCCAGAATGAGGAAATTCTGGTATTAGATTTTAAATTGCGACAAGCAGGAACAAAAGCCTTGTGAAAAGATGAAAAGCCATTATACTGCAGTTATACCACACTGCCACCTTGTGCTTGATTAACAGAACATATAGAATGACGGAGAAATACAAACACCAGGAAAAAACCCTGTGCAAACAATGCAACAAAAATGGAAAAGGAGCGTCCAAACAGCAGTGAGAAGAGCCCCCAAACAATTCTGTTGTTATCTTTGAGTAATAAAGCTATTTTGCACATGATTGTTGGTGGAGTCAGACCTATGGTAAAGTATTCATAGATAGATGACTGTAGCCTATTTGGAAACTACAAGTATGCGTTTAACGCTGCTTCCCCGCTATGAGGCCATGCAGGCAATCTCAGCAGCCCTACAGGATTTAGTACACTTTGACAAGATCTGGTTAATCCCCATGTGAATTACAAACATTTCTTCGCTTATAATTGCTGTGATTATAGCAATGGATTTCTGCTAGTGTTCTTAGGTTTTATGGTCAAGATGATTGTCATACTCTCCTATAATCATTAAAATGTTTAAGGGAGTGACTATATAGTTTCTTATATCTAGTTTAGTAGATTTGTGCAATGCACTGTGCAGCAGGTGCAATCTTTCTACAGGTGATGACTGGAAAGAACCTGAAGCCAAGTACAAAATAAAAAAGTAGTGACAGAACATAAAGCTATAATACCCATGAAGCTTTCTCTCATTTTTAATTCCTTCGTTACAGGAGACATCCCTGTATTTGAAGTTGTCCTCCATTTGAAAGGTTGTCCAGTCCAGGTCTGCTTTAAAAAGGAAGAGTCATCACTGGGAGAGCGAAAGAGCCTTTGAAGTTGCCCATCAAGAGTTAGCACGTGGACAGCAGATTGAGGCAGCACACAGGAGGTCACCTGTCAGTCTTCATCTCGATCATGAATTGTGCTGTATTTTGGCTTAAATGAAATAGCAACTACTTCTACATTTTCACCTATACTTACCACCGAACACATGCAAACTGTACGTAGATCAGCATTCTCTTTTGTCATTTTGTCATTTGCTCTCTTTAAAGCAATGCATATGTGGCCAACTTATTCATTTCAAAAAGAAATAGTATTATAGATTCATAGAACAGTAGAGATGGAAGGGGCCAGAAGGCCATCAGGTACAACTCCTGGCTCAGTGTTGGACTCCGGGTTAAGCCATCCCTCTCAGATGACTGTCCAGTTGCATCTTGAATGCCCTCTAGTAGGGGAGAGCTCACAACCTTCTTGGTAATTGGTTCAACTGTCAGGAAGTTCTTCTTGATGTTCAGCCAGAAACTGACTTCCTATAATTTGAGCCTGCTATTCTGAGTTCTGAAACCTGAGATAATTGAGAAGAGATCCTGGCCTTCTCTTTGTGACAAGCTTTCAATTATTTGAAGAGTGCTATCATATCTCCCCACAGGCTTCTTGGGGTAAATTTGCTGAATTCTTTCAAGCTCTCCTCATAGGGCTTTGCTTTCAGTCTCCAGATCATCCTTGTTGCCTTCTTCTGAACCCTTTCCAGTTTGTGTGCATCTTTCTTAAACTGTGGTGCCCATAGTGGACACAGTGCTCCAGATGAGGCCTAATCCTCAGTTCTTCACATGAATAAGAATTCACTAGCATTTCACAGAATGATCTCTGTGAACTTTGTTCCTGCATTTCACTCCTTCCCAGCCCCTTATTTTTTGGCTCATAGCTCTAACCTTACCTTGTATTTTTTTGTTATTGTTCTTTTTTGTAAGAGGGGAAATGAGATATAAGTTATACAGCTGTGCTTTTATAGAGAGGAAATTATCCTATTATTCTTTGTGAAAAACAGCTCTTCTTCAAGTGGGCCTTGCAACAGCTCAAGCAGTCATGGGATTATTATCATCCTCCTCCTCCTCATCATCAAAATTATGTTTCTGCAGGACTCTTCTGAGTTAATAACTTGGGCTATTAGGAAGTCGAATGCCCTCCTTTTTAGAACAAGGGTGTGAGGATTTGCAGAGCAGCACCGTTCCTCCTGGTGGCTTGATAGAGCAAGCAGCCTGGTTTACCTTGTAGTACTTTCAGGACTGGTATCTGGCCTGTGAGTGCTTGAAGGAAGCCATAGCATGTGCTATAAAAGGATGCCTAATGTTGCCATAGCACTGCAAACCTGTTGGTAGTTGTTTCTCAGTTCTGATATGACTTCCAGTGTTGTAGTGCCTTTACCTGTGCCCTGACACCTGCCTGACCCTGAGGGCACCTTCTCAGGTATCTGTTCCTGTTTCTTCTGATATTGCCCCACTTCTAGTTCTTCCCACCTTGTTTGGTATTTGGTTTTTGCTTGCTCTTTTGCCTTTTCTTTTGCCTCTGAAACTGGTCTTTGCCTCTGGCCCTACTGCATCTTGCAAGGATCTCCATCCACCCTCATCACCTCTGTTCTGGTGCTCCAGTAGTAAATGCTTGCTTCATGCGTCCTAAGGTAACAAAAACATAGAACCAAATAAAGGTAAAAAGGTTATGTCAGGGGTGAGCAACCCGCAACTCCAGAGCCACACATGGCTCTTGAACCCCTCTGCTGCGGCTCCGTCGCTCAAAACACGCACCAGCACAGCCATTGATCTGCTGGAAGCTCCACTCAGGAACACAGCTCTAGCTAGTTAAGTAAATCACTACATTCCTCTGCTAAACAAGCTTCCTGCAGGCTCCCATGTTACACAAAACTGCTGAAAGGATTCTATTTGTCCCAATGTAATCTCCTTCATCTGAATGTTAAAAGCTGCACTTGGGACCTGTCACAATTCACAGCACTTGACTATTTATCTGCTAATCAGTCACTAAACATATGTTTAATGCATGCAGCCCTTTAGCACTGACTTTGACTCTTCAGGAAGCTGTTCTCCTATTCAAAATATATGAAAGGAGTCCTACTAGTTTATAATGTAAGATTAAAAACTGTTATTTTTAATCTTACATTA